GCCTCATGGTACAACTGAAAAACAAGCCACCGCGAGGGATGGAAACTGCGGAAGATGTTCAAACACGACTGTCTGCCATGTTAGACCAGCTGTATGTCCGACACACATCACTTGAAACCTGGAGATCAATCAGACCAATTCCCTCCTGGCAACTATGTTGCATTAGGGTTGCCCTAGTCGAGCTTCAAAACAACCCGCTGGCCAGATCAGAGGTAGCAGCCAATCTGTTTCATCCTTTCCCCAAAACAGAAATTCACCTCTCTTTTTTTCTTTTACTACTGCTGTCTTCCTCTTTCTTTCATTTCTTTAAATTTGCAAATTAAGTCTAATTTATTAACTGTGACAAGTAAGTCGTTTTCATTATTGACTGCATGCAGCAATTTCTGTACTCTGGCAAACTTGTTTTGTGCTTTTAATTCATAATTATTACAATAATCCTTTCATGCCAATTCATGTCTACTCTGTATTCTACCTGCAGGCCCATTCCCATTACCCCTTTTCTATTGAATGTGTACATTTCTCCATGAACCTGACAAGAATAAACTGTATAATGATCCTGCATGCAGCTTTTATGTCTGGGCCGCGGTAATCCTCAAATGCGGACCACTATGGCTCAAGGCAGCCTGGGCATCAGTGTTTGCTTTTAAGCGGAAAGACGGCGGGCCGGACGGAAATCCATTTCCCCGGGCACCGATTGACTTTATGGAATTAATTTCTCCTATTCTCCGGCGAGATCATGGGGAAACAAATGGAAGATTTTCTAGTGTTTTAAAGGCGATATATTCGTCCTCTGCTTAATTAAAAAATGAATTTCTGACTGACCAACAAATTGTTGAAGAGGTCTTTATTTTTGAACGGATATATAACCTTATTTCAATAAAATAATTATTTGGTTGTTGAAGCACTAATCATACTTCTAAAATTGGTCCCCGACTGTAATGTTCAAGCAATCCCTTTAACAAGTCGACCAGATTTTTGTGGTGAACTATCAACATATTTTCTTGCTAACTTATCCCGCTATCTTCCCGCTATGATATCCATCCAACTCAGTTCAGGGGAGAATCAAAACAGACATCTATACTGGATGTGGACTACTTCGTTTCCATCAGCAGCCGGATTTCACAGGAGACGAAGGCGTCAAGTTATGTATTATGGATGAACCTTTAAGGAGAAACAAGTGATTCTCCTTCTTAGCCTTGTTCCAAGAATATCAACACTCAGCTGCTACTCAGAAGAAAGTGACTGTGGTAAACAAGTGGAGAATGATGTGGTGTTTTAGGGAACTGTGGAAGAGTTTCTATGTAATTGCAGTATATCGATACATCTTTAATCTTTCTTATACATTTCCATGAAATTGATGGATTGAAACATGTATTTATTTTATACAAAAAGACTTGATACTATAATCCGTTGAGATCTTTCTTTAAATTGCCATCGCGATCTTTACCCGTATACCAGCATAGAATTACTGAGTTTGAAGGAACACTTTAAAAATGTTGCCTTTAGGGCGATGCATAAGATTGTAGGAGATAAAGAACGATGGAGTGAAGTGTATCGACATCTCCTCGTGATCAAGCAAGAGTCCAGGATTACACTCTGCATACACCAATATAATGCTGACGCCAATCGAGACAGCCTTCCTAATCCATCTCAGCTCATCAAATTTGAACAATGAAGACGAATCGTCCTGTGATGCGGGCTCCATGTCTCTGCGGAAGTCTGCACCTGTGATTATACCTTCTATTGCGTGCAGAAATTCATCTTCAATCTATAAGTACGGAATTCTCAGCTTTCTGCTGGGAACGGACTGGGTGTATCAAACGCTGTCAATATACCTCTTCATATATAAGATTCACGGGGCGTTTTCCACAAACCGAATTTTAGTATCTATTCCACTATTTGTAGCTCGAAATCGTATAGTTTAAAAAAAAGTCAGGTTTTATGGATCCGCTTGAACAAATTCCTAGCCAAACCTTGAAATGCGCTTTACGTAAGTGTAGAAGTTAAAGTTTCTACTTAAGTTAACATCAATTGTTCGCTTACGGCAAGCAGAGGTAGGTTGACGTGTGACAAAGTCATTATCTCCAACGCCAATATTGTATGTATACTCCGTTATAGCCTGCAACCCCACATTGCGTGTTTTCCAATCAAGTCCCTAATACAGACAAAAAGAAAATGAATGGAATCTGCATGTCAGGATTTTTTTTTTGAGTGGGGTTGTTTGTGTTTTGTGTGTTTGAGCATTTTTACCCCAGAAAATTTGAAAAATATTTTAATCGTAAATCACCATTCTATATTATCGTAGCATAACTGTTAAAGAGTTCAAACTATCGTGTAAAAAGTAATGGGAAACATTTCTGTTTCTTTGTACCATAGGATATCCTCCATGCGGAAGATGTCAAGACGCCCATTTCAAGAAAGAGTCCATCGTACCAAGGTTAAAACGTCAAGCACGATGATGGATAAAGGTGGGCACCAGGTGCGTATTTTAATCAACCACTGAACCTAATGAGTGTTTACGGGCCACCCAATTTGCGCGGATGAATCCTTGTTCCTTGTCAAGGTGAAATATTGCACATTGTACGTGTGTATCGCGTCTCATGGGAAATAAAATGCAGTGACCCTGCAATGTTTCCTTGTCGATGTCCGGAGAAAGTCTACGCACGTTTCGATTCGCTGTTAAAATTAGTTCTGTGACGTCAATCTGACGTTTTGTTTGATACTTTCGAAGACTGTCGATATAAGAGTCAGTCGTCGATAAGTATCGATTTTGACCTTATCGAATGTTCCGTCGAGCCACGGACAGGTAAACAATATATATTTCATTAATCACTTCCTTGTCGTAAAACATTACAGTTATGAGGCGACTTTCGGCCGTGATAAAATTAATTTGTTTAACAAATGCAACAGATAGAGAGGAGCATCTGCCCCCTGTAATGATTGGTTGATAAGATGCATGACGTCACTCTTATAGGCCTACTGGCCAATAAGTGTGGAGCGACCTCAGTAAAGTTGAACAATTGCCATCACTATAACATTACTATCACAACTATTGCACTACAATACATTGAAATACAACACTGAGAAGTTGTCAACCGAAAAGTTAAAATAACACCAATGTGCATCACGTTTGAGTTTATATCTTATTGATTTAAGATTTGTTCATCGAGGGATGAACGTCACTGAACGATTCCCAAATGCTTAACTTTTCAACTTTGTTGTTTGTCTTCTCATTCAGTAATCCCTTTGGAAGTCGGAGGGAGCATGTTTACATTGATTCCTCCACCCTCAAACATCGAGAAATAAAACTCTTCAAATAAGACGGAAGAAACACAGGCGCGAAAGGACAAGCAAATATTGTCATGTGCCCGCGCGAGTTAGCTCAGGCGCGGAGGGCTTTAAATTTCCTCCCGATAAGAGTATGATGACCGCCCATGTTGCTGATGTTTTGAGCGGAAGTCTATATCCTTACAAAATATCTTTTTATACCTCCTCTCCGCCCTCTATCCAGGATGTTGTTAGTGTTGTTTGCCGCCCCCATTCGCGCTTCCCACCCGCGGGGAACGAGGCAATGGACACCCGACTCTCATTGCTAACGTGTTGACATCTTGTATAAGCCATTCATGTTTCCGGACAAGAAAAAAACCCTTAAGGTCAGAGGGTCGTGTTTCTCAAACTTTCAATCACAAACTTTTCAATTTGCAGTGGTTTCAACATCCAGCGTATAAAGACACAATTACTTGTTCCATAACCGCATGACAAAAAAATATGTATTTATCCTGCCTAACCGCAAATCGAATAAGGATACAAAAATTACCTGTCGATTATTTATTTGTTTCACTTTTTTTTTAAGTTTAATTCCTCACTTGGATAAGATTGGTTTGAATACTTTCTTTGGATTTGTCGAGGGGTTTCAGTTTTCCTCTTTATTTTGGTCGTCTGTGTAAGTTGGAACCAGAGGTCTACACTGACAAAAGCAGTTTCTTTCTTTTGCGCTGTTATCGAAACAGTTCATTGAACTCCCGGTGAACACCAGCAGATAGGCTCGAACAACCGCATGTTTACCTGAAAAACAGTAGCCTATACTTGCCTCAAATAACTTTTCTTAGCTTCGTTGAGAGGGTGCAAAATGACGTGGAGAATGTTCTCAGCCCATGCTTGCTTTTGAGTGATTCCTCCGAAATAGCAGGCTAGCCTAGCCTGTCAATTAATCATCAAACGAGTTAGTAAATTAATCACGTATGTCCTATGAAGTGACGCAGACTCGCGTCGAGCCTGCTCTTGAAGATTGGCGGCGCTGTGTAAATCCCTCAACCATCTACGGAAGAGTACGCGAAGCGTGGTGGCGCTGTTGATATCAGTTGAACGCTGCTCGAACACGGTTTATTTTTTTTATTCCAAAATAAAAACGTGCATGTTTTTCTTGAAAAACAAACTGCTTAGAGTTTAGGTAGATATAAAAATCTGCAGCTTTGCACCATAAAATGTACGGTAAATGTTTCAATGCGATAACAAGTTTACAGTGAGTCTTTAGACGTTTCTAAATTGAAAAACAAAATTAAATATAGGCCTACAATATAAAGGCTCTTTCTTTTTCTTTTTCGTTTTTTAAGAAATCGAGGCTCGTTTTTTCTATTTTTTTTTTCGAAATAGTGGTTTACTTTAAATAATATATACATACAAATATTTAATACAGATATTCAACATTAAATACCATTAAATAAGATTATCACATCCAAATCACCATTATTTGATAGGAATTGTGCAATTTTCATAATGATGACCAATCGTGCACATAACTTGCCTCACATAAATACACATCAAAACAGTCTGTGGGGACTAACAAAAACCAGGTTCGTGTACGTGTAGCAACTAAGTTTGCTTAACTGAAAGATCCTTTACATCCAATCAATATATGACATTTGCCGAGGGAAGCATGTCACACTGGGAATAGATGTCCCTTGTTTTTTCTTAATACTGTAGGGTACAACTCAGTTGTATTACGGAGTCTTGCGCTGAATAGAATACAAAGCGAATGCAAAGAAAGACAAAAGCATCGATATTTGTGCGGATATCCTATTATCGTTTTGGATTAGAAAATTAGATATCAAACACCTGCCGAATGTCTGACGAATCGTACAATTAAGCCACAGCTATACAGCTGTCTCTTTGTTTGATACGACTGCATAGCTGTAATTGCTATTAAATTGATCCATAGAAGAATGGAGACTGGATGTAGGAGAATCAGGCGTCTCGTCTGACCTTTGCCACTGTTAAAATATGCAAAAACATCGGAAAATAATAAACCTATTTTAATATGCATAAATTAAATCTAAAAATGCGAATTTGGATTTACTCGTGTCTAAAAAAAAAAGTTTCAAGATTGCTAAGGAGCTGAATAAACACCAGATATGACGCAAAGTGTCTCACCTTTTTGCAATGCTTGACGAAAGCAGCTGCAATCACCACTGCCACCATCTCGATTGCGAAGCAGATGACCAGAGATAAGGCGCCCATTGAAGCACCATGCATACTGAAACAAAAGAACACACACATTGTTAAATCAAAGAAAACTTTGCAAACTACTCCAAAATGTCATTAATTTGTCTCATCAATCCGAATGCAGATACTATATACAGGGAATGACTCGTGGACAGAAACAGGTCAACTATTTTGATGAAATTTATGTAACTTTTAATTGGAATTAAGCAAAACAAGACTGTATGTAGGCAGGCCTAGTCTAGCTTGACCCGTAAGTCCCAGATAAGGACGATATTTGCACTGAGTAACTCATTCACTCGCTCTGTCGGTCGACCAGTCATTGACTCGGTCAGTCAGGGGTCAATATACCGGCACTTCAGGTCCAGCAAAAATTCCAAGAGTAAAGACACACGACATTCTTAAGGAGTCTTTGCTTGGTCTTCTTGAAATATCAACCTACCCCAAAAGAGGTAGCAGGAAGACTGTAGCTACTGCAAACACAAGTCGTGCTACTGCACTAGGGTAGGTGACTTCAACTCTCCTGAGACACATCAACCAGGATGTAAAGTGTGTTCTGATCGACACTAAATAAAAAAATAACAAATATGAAACAATGACCTTTCATCATGATGAATGTCACCAAATTAAATTTACACAGATATCTGCAGTATTTCGTATTAAATCAAAGTATTGATTAAATAATATGTACCGTTCTCTCAATAAACTTGGCTTAAATTCGTGTGTGCTTATAATTTCTTTTGTCAGTTAAAGTTGACTTTAACTTGAAAAAATAATGTCAGTTAAAGTTGACCTAAACTTGAAAAGAGTTTTGTTATGTTACCACTATCAAGCAAATGCTTTTTCCCCCTCCATTAAAGGTTTCAGTTAGCTCTCATAATTTGCCATAAACCACATTGAAGCTTTGTAAACTTAAAGGTATAGTCCATCATTTGTAATTTGTGCATTTTGTTCGTTTGAAGCAAGAAAAGTGCTCAAAATCCAAAGCAGGGTGCTGAACAAGTTTTAGCTCAGCTTCAGCTGTATATTTCGAGAAAAACAACATTCTAGGATGTCGATTTCAAATCAAAAGTTGCTGAATCATGTTTTGAATTGGGCCTGAATTCAGCGTCCGAGACACGTTCTCACTAGCCGATTGCAGCTACGCGATGTCGCGCACAGATCCGACGAATTATAGCAACTGCGCGCGCGTGTGCATCGTGCCAACACTTGCGCGCGCTTCGCCGAATAAAAAAACGAACTACTAACAGAAATTTCCAACGGTGCTTCTTAAGACACACCGTTGGAAAAAAGGCCTTCTTTCGTTGATTTCTTCAAAAAGACAGCTTGCTAGAAATAATAATTTCACAGGGAGTTTAGTCCCCTTACTATCTTTCAACCAAGTATGTTTTTCAACAATAATTACGCCAGTTACTTTTTGGATAGCTGCAAATGATGGACTCGGGCTTTAATTAAGCATGCAAGATCAGTAGTGCTGGCTAAATGAAAGACCATTAAACAGTGGTTAACAATTTCAAATTAAATGATTCCCCATATGCGTAAGTCATTACTCCTTCTGTTTTTAATTCTCTGTAAATTAAGTTTTCAAGACATGTAAATTCACACCTGTAATTGGAAGTGCAGTCAGGATTCTGAGTGGAACGATGCACATTTCAGCTATGTCCCTTTTCAGTCCTAATAATGCCATCAGTACATTGGTAATAACTCCCGGTATCCAAAAGAGAATCACACAAATCTGTGGAACAAGGTCCCGGAAGAAAGTGGTTGGAGGAAAATGAAAAAAAAAACAAAAGAGAATATTTCCTTTATTATTACAGATTAATAGAGTGTCCGAGTTGAGTTTGTATTTCACAGAAACTTATCACAGTTGAGACAAAGTGGATAATAATTATTTCCAGCATTTTGTACTCACTATCATTGAAATCAGAAAGTATCCAATGTTGAAACGCGTAATGTGTCTGACGATATTCTCGTCCTCTTCAGTGGGTTTTCTGCTTGGCTGTAGATTAACAAATTGTACAATTTACTTTCAGTTGAAATTGACCTTTACCGCAGTGAGACCACACATTGTTGGTTAGGTAGGCGTACATATTCCTAAAAAGATCTGTTTGTCATTGAAATAGCGTGGGTTTCTGGCCAGTTTGACAGTTTCGAAGCTTCTGTAAGCAGAAACAATAATCAGACATGCAAATGAAAAAGTCACAACAAGCAAGGAAATGCCAAGTTTAATCAGCGGAACTGAAGTTGAAAGCTGAAAGATTATTTCATTCTTTGCCAGGAACATTTTTATATAAGCAACACTATGATAATCAATAATGACGTTTGTTAATTGCCTCGTTAATGTGAACATTATTTTCCTTGTATTAAGGCATAATCAATCATATTTTTATGGTTGTTACATTTAGGTAGAGCGGAAAGAGATATCTTGCGTCGATGAGCCAGTGGTAGGTCATCATGAAGGTCGTATAGCAGATGGATAGGGTAGCAACAGCCTGCGATACAAAACAATGATGTGAGCAATTAGCCAAACGATGCGAACCACCGACCAGCTTCAATCAAAGATCATTACAATTCAGGTAAGTTATCACAGAGAAGGAGCATAGATTGTATTTATTCCTGCAAACAAAAGAGTAAGATAAAAAAAAATACACCGCATAAATGAGACACGTGTATGGAGGTCATCTATGAACACACAATAATATATTTCGCTCAGCTGATAGATTACTAATTGTAAGCGTTTCAAGGCTTTAGTAAGCCTGAAAACTAACCGCCATTACGTAGGTTGCGATCGAAGCTATTAAGCACGAATCAATCATGAAGTAGCCAAACCATGGACAGGGTCCTACTCTTCTAAAAAAAAACAGTGGGAGAAGCATCCTTCCATTAACCAGAAAGCCCAATAATTATGTGGTCCTGGGTCGATAGGTAGCCATATGAGGCAAATTATGGGGGGCGGGCCAAGGTACAAGTGAGTCAGTGCGTCAGGTACAAAGAGAATTGGAGCTGGTCCTTTCCAACCAGCAAAAAATAAGTTGGTAACTGATAATCATCACTCTGCGGTAGCTTCTTTTCAAAGTTTTAAATCCTGTCCCACCTTTGCTGCTTCATCCGGGGCTGAAGCCAGATCCCGAGCAACTAGCAGGTTGGTCAGTGGGAAGCTAATGTTCTGGCATATGTTGACAACTGCCAAGGGAGACCAGAAGGAAAACACCTGTCTGGCTGTCAGACGCTGCAAGATAAATTATTGCCGTTGTATGGATTCCTTGTGAGTCAGTGTGAACTCAACAATTTTGGCCTGATGATTTTGGCAAGCAATTAAGAATACTATATATTCTTAATAAATGATTAGCTAACAGCTGATTGATGGGCTCCAGGAAGCGAATGACACCCTCAAACGACAGTTGCAACTAAGATAAAGCTTTTAAAAATCTACATCTTTCATTTGTTTTTTTATACATGATAACTCCATAAACCAAAGCTTGGTATTTGACTTTCCAACACACGTTGTTTGCTATTTGGGAAGAAAGAAGCTCTTAAAAAATAAACAAATTATCAAATTGACCTCAATTATTGTCGTTACTCTTGTCAACAGACCCACCTCTTTTAAAGATGTGTCTTTCCTCAGTTTTCCATGCAGGTATTTAAAATAACCTATCAAAGCCAAACAGACTCTGATAAACATCCCGATGTACATGGATAGAATTGGAACGAGAAATGGTCTAGTCTTTGGTAAACCAGTCAGAGGAAGCACAAATATGAAAACCACCTGTTGGGAGACACAGAGAAAAAAACTACATCATAATCTATATATAAAATATATAATTCATTTATATTCTGCTAGCATGTTGCATCTCAATTTATTAGTCTAGTGTAGGCCCGTTTTTACTTACTTATTTATTTATACTTACTTGTAGGCCCGTCACGAACTTTGGTTTGTTTGCGCGATAACGCTTCATATACCATTCAACTGGATTATCGTTAGTTTGTGACCTCGACTGTCAGGTGACGGTTAGTAATAATGCACTGTTGTGCATAGCTGTTTTATTTTGTACCGTACCTGTAGACAAATACCGTACATTTGTGACTGTTATAACTGAGCAGATGATGACTCTAATAAAATCTATATAGGTAACACACTTAATAAACAGTGTGTATACGTCGGTGAAGGGCAAAACCCGACGCAAATTCCATCTTATGAATAGCAAATCTCTATTGCGCACGTCAAACAACCTAAATATTTCACCACTTATGCGTTCCTTCATTCTATTGCAAAAATTGAAAAAAAATACACGGGTTAAACCCCCGACTAAATCCAACCCCCCCCCCCCAAAAGGGTAAAATTTCTGAATATTGTTTTGTGCCCTTACCCGAACTGCAATATCCAGAACCTGGGCTGTCGCAACCAACACACTGTGCTTGTGGGAAAGAAGTAGGCCAAAAACCAGCCAGTTCTGTGCATCAAATAAATTATATATATATATATATATAAATATATCAAAGTAGTGCAATTTATTATAATTAAGTGCAACTTATAAAAATGACAAGCAAACTATAGAAACAAACTTACAAATCCCTCAATAAGCGGCCACATTGCTAAGTAGAGCATACATTTGTTCACACCAACTGCAACATCTTCCGATAAGCTGTAGACAGTGTCTGTGAGAAAGGTACCCAATGACGTCAAACCTAGTGACGAAGAAAAGCAGAGAAAAATCAAGTAGTGCAAAGTGAGAAAAAAACATCAGGCATTTCCAACTGAAGTGTTTTCCAACGACATTATAAGTATTTTGGGTATAATAATAGTCAACAATGTATTTTTTACTCCTTGATTGTTAGCAAAATGAAACATTGTAGAAGCGATTTTTTTAACACCACAATATTGTGTCATCAAATTCTGGATTTGATAACGTTTTGTAAAGAGAGAATCAACTTCAAACTGATCATGTAATGGAGTTCAAGGACGGGGACGGTGAAGCTTAGTAACTGATACGGGTAAACACTTTCAAAAATCAGTTGTAGTTCTTACCAATTAGCAGTGCCGTAGTAACGATCAACAGGCCGACGACAAGCATGCAGACCAGTGCCAGTAGAGCATCCCGCCTGCTACGCACTAAGACCATACTAACATTGGTAAACTCAAAGACGATACCGACCATGAACTGACAGATGAAGAAAGCTATACCAAAACTGGCCAGAGCCGCTGCAGCATTCTCCGCAGGGGTAAGCCCTCTAATTAGTGCCTGAGGATAAGGAAATACTGGATTCCATTTTTATGTCAATAAAAGTATCCATTTCTGTCACTCACGTAAGCAGTATTAAAGGGGCACTGCGTCCTGAAATCCCCGATATTTTCATGTTTTGGAATGTTTTCTTATCCTATTTCAAACATCTGGTTGAAAGGAAACCAACCTAATGTCTTACCGTTCCCGGGAAAAGACGGAAAAAACCGGTTGTTTACATCGGACACGACGGAGTACGCATTTGTTTTTCTTGTCGTTTTCAGTCAATGTACGATACACGTTGCGTGTGTCACATAAATTACAACACCACCAATACACGAATGTGGTTTCTTACACGTCCACAGAAGGCGAAAACACTTTACAGCTGGAATCATAACTAGCATGAACAGCCAGAAATTCTCGCACGTTTAACACAATAATACGACAAAAACGCCTTGTTTTAAAGGATGGTTGTGTGGATGTTTATATCCTACTTTTAACATCGTTTCGTTCAAAGCGCGTTTTGTAGCCCAATTGGGCTTGTTTCAGGACGCAGTGTCGCTTTAATGCTTGCGTGTTGCTTGTAACCCCCCGCCCCGGTCCACGGCCCGGGCCTTGCCCAACTTCAATCCGGCCCCAAATTATAATATTTTTAAAAATTGTCAATGCATTATTACGCCTTCTTACCAATTATCAACCATGCTGCATTCATTTGTTTGGCTACGTACCTGGTTGCCGAATATGACGACTAACTTGGTGAACGCCAGCGGTAGCATAAACTTGACGATTTGTGTGTAAGTAATGGACGCCATGGCGCAGATGACCAACACTACTGATGACCTACACCTTTGATCTGCACCACTGATTATGGATAGCGGATGCACAAACACCAGTCATAAATTTGCATTGGACCAATTCGCCCCGAACTTCCTAAATAAATATACGACGAGCGTTCTACGCATACACACAGCGCGGTCTAGTATCAACATTTGACGCACAATTTGTTCATGTTCACGTACACTGGTGCTAGAAGAGATCAAACAATATACAAGATATGACAGCAGTTTCCTGTCAGCTGCTATAAGCCTGTTCCTCACTGTGACCTCATCGGGCAACCTTCAAAGGGAGGGTATAGACCTTGATCATGCTTCCACCATTTTAGTCATGTTCATATCCAATAACAGTACTGAATGATTATGTTTTTGTGCAAAAAGGAACCAGACTATTTGTCCTTCCAGCCTCGTTTTGGTTACATTGATCTGAATGGGAAAAAATCGAATGGCTGCAACATGATAATGGTCTATTCTTACAGTGCTTCAAGGATGCCCATATTTCACACAACTGAGCTTCTTAGACGTCCTATATACCTACCACGTATTTAGGCTTTTTCTTTGAAGTTTTAATTAAGCTCAATCTGCTCATATTCTCTTATATCTCTTGTATATATGTCTTTTTCATGGGATGAGGTTTTAAATTCGAAGTTAGCCGTGGCAGGGCTGGCAGGAATTGATTACGTTAAAACTTAATTTTATTAAATACAATGTATAATAAAACGGAGATTATAATTGTGAAAGTGGCTTCAAAAACATAAGATTATGTTGGAGAGGAAGTGCCCAATTTGCGTTGGGTGAAACATAGTTGGATGATCTAATTATGGAAATTTATGAGTAGTATGAGAAAGCAAAGTCGCAATCTATTTTTGTCAAACACTATATAAACACTGCGGGTTCTTTAACGAATAAGAATGACTCGTAGATTTTTTTAACCGCTTATATAGGAAACCTAATATATATATATTTCGTCACCAACACCACGAAGTAACACTCATGTACATACCAGTAAAAACTAGCAATCGTAGAAAACGGCATCTGAAGCTGAACGCCTTCTAAAACAGCACTTTGCGTCAAAACTGCAGAGTAGTTTTAGTTGGGTTTCTCGTTGTGGACACTTGATGTATTGATGTCATTAAATTTGCTGTTTTTGACCAGTTTGTGCATTAAAACAACAAGAAATAAGAGAAAAAACCGATGCAGGCGCGGTTCTACGGGGGGGCTAGGGGGGGGGGGCTGTAGCCCCCCTCCCCCAAATTTTGTCTAGCCCCCCCCCCCAAAAATAAATTCCGTAAAAAAAAAAATGCCATTAGCAAAAAGAAGGATTGTGATGTACATGCGAACGGTCTCCCCCTAAAGAAGAAATAGCCGTGACAAGGGTGCATTAGTTAATATAGTGTGAATGATTTTATGATTTTATTGGCGCTCCCCATTAAAAACATGGCATGAACAATTTAAAACATGATTCAGCAACTTTTGATTTGAAATTGAGATCCTAGAATGCTGTTTTTCTCGGAATATACAGCTGAAGCTGAGCTGAAACTTCATCAGGTTAGTTGTTCAGTATCCTTCATTAGATTTTGAACACTTTTGTTGCTTCAAACGAACAAAATGCACAAATTACAAACGATGGACTATATCTTTAACACGTGGAGTGTTACTTCGTGGTGTCGGTGACGATTTTTTTTACAGATGAGTCGCCACCGTGGTGGGAAGAAGTCATTAAGATGGGCCCGTGCAAAGATTTTGTTTTTGACACACGGAATATTCATTTACAGATAATTTTTTTTCACTATGTATTGGTCAAAGACTGGATTTGAATTTTGGTAGAGCTAGAGGGCGCTTTCAACAAGGTTGTATTTAATGTCAATGGTCAATCCGTGCCATTACTACAGATGATGATTATTAGATTAATATTTATCCTCGCATGCCAGAACAATGAGGACTTGTGACATCGTCATCATGGTATATCATCATGGTTTATTTCATCGAGTATAATGGGTTGAAGTAAATTGGTCCACATCCGTCATATAATGGAAAAATCCTTTTTTTCGGAACGTGTGCTGGCGCTTTTTTCATCGAACACCGCGAGAGGGCGCTATAAATGCGACCGTTACTTTGTTTTGCAAAGGCGGCCTTGAATAAACATGTACATGTTTTTGCTTATGAAGACTATGCGTGAACGCGCCCCGCTATAAAACGTGCATTGGAAAAATATGAAAACGGAAAGCATTTTCGCAAAACGGGAATCGTTTTGTCGCTCATTTTGTGTTATTAATTGATCGTTTTCCTTCGTGGGAGGGCGAACCCGAGGCCAAGGTTCCCGTCCCGAGTTGGGAATGAGGACTTACAAGGAGGCAAAATCGAGAGACTGAAAACTGTTTATGCTTCACGATCACTCAAAGTCACTGATCAAACTCAAGAAAAGTCTTTTCCCCCTTTCACTATTTTTCTATGTTCCCTATTTTCTTTTAATTAAATCTAGTCCGGACCGTTTAATCTCAGAGAGGTGAAATTGCACAATTCCATCCATGTTCAGTGGAGTGCGCCCTCTATCCGTGAAAAGAACATGGAAGTCCAAAGTGTATAGGACTCATGGAGGCTTTTTGATCTCAACCGAATTCCAATCTTATCACGTCATGTCTGTTTCCCATTCATCACAGTTATTGTCTGTGGTTCAAATGATTTAATACCTGTTTGACCCGTACTTTCAATAGTTTTTGCCGACTCGCTCCCTGTACAGGTCTTTATGTCGCTCGTTACTTTCCAGGGTAACACTACTCAGTACACAACAATACTGGAAACCCGTAGAGACGTTGGGCTTGGCGCCACTGCTCGCAGTTCGCGTGCAAAGCCTCTCCAACCCCGCCGAAGGCACACGACAGCCTTTACTGAAAAAAATCTGCCAATTCATCTGGCAAAAGTGCGCAGCATTCATCAAAGATTGCCCTTGCTCAATGAGGCTTGGCGCGTATGGCGGGCAAAAATATGGGGAAAATTCAATTCTTTATGATTATTGTATTCTCTGTGTATGATTTATGGCTGACTGAGTGGTTGATTTTTTTACGTCGAAAAATGTTACACAGAAGACAGAACCGATCCCTGTAACCTAGATTTTTAGTTGTGCCTTTTCTGTGAATGAGCGGACATTTTTAATTGTAATTTTTTTCTACGCAAATGTTTTGTGGGGTTCTTTGTAAGAGCCCGAAATGGGAATCGAAAAAAATCTTGGAAATCGCATAATTGAAATAGAAATCATCTGTCAACCATGGGGTTCGCACTTTCAGTGTTGACGCTGAAAGGACCAAGTGGGTTAAAGTTGTGTGCATTTTGTGTTTAATCATACTGGAAGGTAAAAGTATTATAACTGTCTGATTAACTTACCATAATGTGAATGATGGTGGCAGTAATGTTATTGATTAGTGCATGACTGGCTGAATGGCTGGTCAACTGGCTGATTAGTTGCTTTCCGTTGTAGCCTATACGAGCTTGTTGATGGTTGCATTTTTGGTTAACTGGTTGGTGATATCATTGTTGGATTTTTTTTGGGGGGGGGGTGTCCTTAATTGGCTCTGTGGTGGCGATTTAGGCAAATAAATATGCCTAACTACAATTTTTATGAAACAAGAAAGCAACAGCGAGTCTCTTGCAGAGCAAGATTACTTGCACTTCTTGAATAATGAACAATACGGCCGTAAGCATAATAGCACTATTTCGTCCATTTGATTCAGGTCAAGTACATTTGGACAGTACTTTTTGTTTGGACTTTTCTTCTGTTTGCCTGCAATATCAAGTCTGTATCCATATCTGCAGTTTTGTTTACCAAACCATTCTCAAAACGATTTATCAAACTTTGGCCACACAGCTAACTGCTACCGACCGGAATATTTTGACATCTTTACCAATTTGAATTATATACCAAATAAAACAGAGCAAACCAATTTGGTGCCTCACAAGATAACTTGTGCAAATATGGCTAAAGAATGGAATTGCACCCGTGGAGTGGGTTTTAATAATTGGGTTATCTTTCTGCGAAGGTCATTTCAGATAAACGCACTTGCAAGTGGGATTCTCTTGCATAGTAACAAATGGGATGTTGGGGTTATCACCGACGGTTGATTGTTGCTCGGATATGTGGAAGTATGTCGGACCTTGGTGTTTCATTTTGAAGTTCATCTTACCCTCAGAGGTGGCAACACAGTGACCTCTTTCATTTGACACGGGTGGGGTCACGTGTCTCCGTTGGTCAGTGCGAAAAATAAATGCTAGGATAAATCGGGAACGTCATGACAATCTTTGTGAGGATGTAACGCAGTGGTCGCTTCTCAGAGCACACAATTAAGCGAAAACAACCTTAGACATGTACTCCTGTTACGTTTGGGAAGGGAGATAAGTATTTGGGTGACCCATTTGTAAATTTTCAGTACGATTTTCACGTCTTTTTTCAAAGATTTAAGCTGCATTCATACTTTCAGAACACTTTCGTTTCCCTGGTTTTCGCTTTTCGTCTCGTTGGCAAAAGGCCCGTGCCACTAGCTGAAGTTTTCAAAGGTTCCCCTTTGCCAAACACAAGACCTCGTATTTACACTTCTCTCTTTGAACCAATTCCCAAGAGGAAAAGACAAAATATCAAACTTCCGCATTGGCAAAAAGGCTCAAATCCAAGCTATATTTGCTCGGGAGCCATGGATGGTCAAAGGTCCTAGCCTACCAGCCCGAGGCTGTTTTCCCAGGTCGACAATCTCACCGTGATTCGTTGGCTACCTGGGCCGGGGAAAAACTGCCCACTGCCCGTCCTCTGGGTCGGTCCGCCCCGGCACCTGCAACCCCTCCCACATCGAGGCTGCTACAAACGTATCCCGCTATCAAAACACCGAACCCAGCCGCATTGTTATCATTGTAATGCCGAATTAACCTCTGATCTCTTGCCTTTGCCCACAGTCGGAGATTCGAACACTCCTCAAAATCATTCTCGTGGGTTGCATGGTGCCACTATTCAACACCGTTGTGCAAACATACTAATAATTATGACGCACACCTTTTGTAAGTGTGAATGTTTTGTAACCAGCGGTTCAAAGACGCAGCATTCTGTCTCTTATAGCCTCTCTTGTTCATTTTTAGGTCAATATGCCCGTGTACTTGACCAAAACCTGGTTTTCTTCAGCAGCATTTTCTCGTTTGGTGGTTTTCCAGGATGTGGACTTTTGACGAACTTACTGTGATGAAGACATTGCTGGCCACAAAATAGCCAAGAACATTTTGGAATACTGCAACTGAGATAGTCTATTACGTGGTCTATTTCCTCGGAAGCCAGCTGCAGGTGAGTGCATTACTAATTGTATTCATAAGTCTTCAACACTGGACTAACAACGGAGGTAATAAGTCGAGAAATGTTATTGTCATTCGTTCAGCTTTCTTTCATTTCTGCAAATGAATTCTTTTGATTGACTTCACTGATCAATTATTACATACTAGATGTACTGTTTATAATTGGATATTCAAGTACATTTTTTTCCCTCGAAATAACACAATTGGAAGTTAATGTGTAATGCTGTGGATACAACACACTTTCCTCTTCCGAAATCCAAGTGTCTCGTCTGAATAGGAAAAAAAACAGGTCCTTGACATTGTGGCTTTCCAGGTATAAGAAATACAATGGTTTTGAAGGTTTTTTTTTTTATCTCTCCTCAATATTTTCTAGCTATACGTCCCATGAACACGATAGAAAAAAATTACTCTCAAACTGTTTCTGAATGTTTATCGAGGTTTTGAAAAGATTCGGTTGTGAAGAACAGAGCAAGAATCCTTTAGAAAAAATAATAATTAGTAAAGCAAACATTGATTCAGTCAAACCACTTTGATTATATATCCGGCTTTTTGTCACCCACTAAACCCGCTACATTATGCTCTTGATCAAATCTGCAGTTCTGTTTCAGTGGTTCTTTCTTTCACCACGTTTCATTTGGTTCCACACAGTTCCACACCGTTCTGCATCAATCTTTCCCCATTTCCCTCTCCATATTTTTTAATTCAAAGGAGATTGTGAAAAGTGATGATCGAGTAGGGTGGGTTGCTTCGGCTTCCTTACACAGAATACATTAATTTGGAGGAGCACCATAACCGTATCAGTACCAGCATATATTTATCCCAAATTTTAATGACTCGTAAAGGACTTTCTAATGTGCATATAAGACCTATATATAGTGTTTGTTATGGCAAATGACTCTCTGTTAATAAAAATGATGGTTGACTTGTCACTTCACATAGCACTTTGAAATGAATGGATGTACCATCACAATTTTCCAGACGTCGTCATCATTATTAAAGGAACTCTGAAGTTAACCTGTCAGGGTTTGACATAAACCGGATCCATCACGTCAAATGACATCAGACCACATGAGATGAAATTGTAACTACCTTGGTAGTAAAGTTGGTTCCCATGTCAAGACAATGATGGGATAATCATGAGGTACCATAGCAACGAGTTGTTCGCTTAAACTGACATGGTTAGCCCCGTTAAAGGCACGTTTGTTTTCCCACAATGCAACCATACATCCCCGTCACAACGGCGGCATCAACAATGGGGAATAGATAGCAGAAGATAATAAGCTTCACTTTGCTCAATAGAAATGTATCGCCATAAGTAATGCATACTTTAAAGGGACTCATAACACAATATATGCCTATGTACTTGATGTTTATGGTTGTAAACCTAGCCATTCCCCCGCCCACAGGATGATCTTGACTGGGACATAATTAGTGCCTCTCTCCTCTTGTATAAGCAAACAACTTAAAACCAACATGTAGGCCTAACCATGATTTTCAAAGTCGAAAGTTCCATTGTCTAATTCTATACCTTTTCCAAACTCTGCAATCCCATGTTTGATCTTTAACCTGAGTATGTTCTCCTATTATTGTAGGACGTGTTGCTTTTTGCACGTGCTGTTCCCCTTACAGATAAAAACATGAGGTCTACGTGACCATTACATTAAATCTAGAGATCTAATCTGTTGTTGATCAATGATACATTGTGATTTGTACTCATTGCAGCTCCCTCTCGTGATCCGTGAAAGCAGTGAAGCGCCCTCGTGATCTTTTATTTAAATAAAGTTTTTGAAACTGTGTAGTACACAAACTGTATGTTACTGCCAAAATGTTGACTGAAAAATGTTATACACGATGAATAACAGGATGATTATCGCCAGCATAATTTGGAGTCTGACTGTTTCATTAGAAATATTGGTTGCCTTTTAATCAACCTCGGTCAAACCACACCAATAATGAAACAATCCATGCGGAAGCATATTATGTCAACACAAGTAAGCATGACCTTAATATGTGGGACACGAACATTCTACGGCTGAGCCTTGTATTGCATGCGAGATGGAGATATGACGAGTTTATTGCTTGTTTGGAACAGCACATGTGTATAGGTTTCGGCCCAAACAATTCATAGTTTGGAAATCTTTTAAATGAATTGTAGATTTTTGGAAGTTTAATAATGGTCACATTAGTATGTGAGCTTCAATTCCAGGTATCTTCTGAGACGTGAACATTGCAGGTTAATGCCATATTGCACGTGACCTGTAAAACAAAACACTAAAATGGGCATGCGCAAAAGCGCCAAAAATACCATTAATAAACACCTTTAATAATTAATAACAACTCGGCCGATGTATGTGTATTTTAGCAAAATAGAGTCCAGGTGTTTAAGAAGTTGACTGTACTAAATCGCTGGGGTAATCGAGATAAACTTGTATAAATTGGTGCGTGGATCCTGTCAAGGATATTTAATAAATCTATAATTAAACTGATGGCAAACAATGCGAAACCAGATAGGAATTTATAATTTGTTGCGAAATGGCAGTTGAGGGATACACATTATACGTGTCAATATCGTATGAAGTATTTTAGTAATTTGTCACTCTATCAAATGTCATCAACACTTTGGATAGGACCTGATGATTTAGTATTCGGGTTAGTTGGATCAGACGAAGCGAGCGATTTTAACCTGCTTAGCGGAGTACGTTTAAAAGGATTGGTTACGATGGCATGAATTGGTAAGATCATGAACAACCATAGTGTATTTATACAGACGATAGAGTGTCGTTCAGAACGTCAATTGTTTTTAGTTAGCGCAGGTGCATTTTGAGATACTCTTATACTTTACTGAATATTATGTAGGCATAGCTAGGCCTAAACGTTTGAGGTTGATATTAAAAGAGGTGTGTACATGTATGTTGGTTATCATCATTTGTTGTTTCTAGTTATGTTCTAATTAGGTTTTGCGAACAAAGGTTTCAGTTGATGCCGTTTGATACACTTATGTCTAAATCGGGGATATTTTGTGTTCTTCTTTGATAAGCTGCACCAACGCACTACAGCCATAACCACATAGATATCGCCAATCAGTTGGCCTAATTTGCCGCGTTGCTCTATTAATATGTTAGCCGATAATGTTGTTATCGGACACCTGCGTGTGTCCCAAGGCACAGCCCCCAGGCAATTTTGCCGACGAACTATTGTGCATTCTGGATACAGCGCCCTCATTCGACAAAGGCACACACCAAAACACCTGCTTTTATCACAGCTTTACCCACCGGACTCATGCCTTGATTCTCCACTTTATAAGTGGCACTGGGTACCCACACACTCACATTCTTCTCCAGCAAAATCATTGATTTCTTTCTCCCTCAACAAAGCACAGGCAAACATTGGTATTTTATAGCCGTATCGATTAATCGGCTTTTAGGCATACTCAAGTAGTATCAATCACAATCGACAATACAATAGACACATTCTAGCTGTATCGACTATTTCCTAATATAAAGGCTGTAAATTAATGAGCTCGGGTGCCTTGAAGATCCTTGGTCATTGGTCCCTCGCCCTTGTTGAATTGCAAATGTATACAAATACAAAGTAGATTGTGGAAACCTGTGTTGACATGAAATTGCAATATAAATTTCAACAAAAACCAAAAAGAAAAGGTGCTACACGTTGGTGTAAGTGAGCTTGAAAATCATACAAGTCAAGGCAGCTTTGAGCAATAAACTGGCAAGAAACTCCAGGCTCACATGAGATAGGTTGCTTGCCTCAAATGTTTCAATTCGTAGAGCGTACCGAGGAAGTGTTTCTGTTTTCTTTGATTATAAAAAGTAGATATCACTATGAGGAGAAATTCTAGGGATGCAACCATTTTCAGGCTGCATAAGTTTTTAAGTCACCGTCCACGAAATCGATATTGTTTTCTGTCCTGTACAAAATAATGGCAAGGGCATATCTGAAAGGCGACTCACACTCTAAAGATTCAAATATTGAATATCAAGGTAATTGGACCTGAACTCACTTTTGGTATTCAAGGTAGAGGTATATATCCATTTCTATTTTGTAAACATTTTCAGTATGGCTTCATGGTTGCGTTTTGTGTGGAAAGGGGCAGGCTGCTTGAGTTGCATGTCACTTCAGGTCAAAGAATTGTAAAGCAGTAATTTTGTTTTCCTTCCTTACAAATCGGCAAATGTTATTATTCTTCAAAGGGATTTGTCTATTATCCAGATTGACCTTCCCTTTGACCCCGGCTTTTGTTACAAATCGACACTTGCTGTGCCTGCACCAAAGATTAAAAGCAGCATCAAATCGGATTTAAAGTGTATATGCAAAAGGTTAGGATTAGCAATCATCTATGATGGGGAAAATCATGACGAAGTTATGCAATTTCCCTTTTTAAAGTTTAAATTTTTTTTTTACCAAAGCAAACAACTCCTTACATGTTTATTCAAAAGGGTAGAAACACTCCAGTATGTCCGATAGTTATTCTCTCCCAAAATTAATAAGAGTTGAGAAAGAATGATGTTAACCCACTACTTGTATCAGTTTTTCATGTATTGCATGAAAAACACTGATACAAGAGTATTTTCTTTCGAGTTTCACGAATGCTGCGTTCATTTCTATGTTAACAAATGCCTAAAAATAAAAGAAAAAAACTACACCAGTGACAACTATCGTCTTAGTAGATAGGTCCCCCATGCCTACGTTGTGGGTATATGTCCCAACTCGGATAGTTCTTTATTAGTCTTCACTTAAAACCACACACTCAAGAAGTGAATTTCCCAAGGAGAAGATGCATTCCTGTAGGTCTTCATCAAAGCTAAACCAGTTTTCAAACACACTTAAGACTTGGAGTGGGTAGTTCCAACACTTCAATTTACGGTTGTTCCCTCTGCGGAAGTTTCTTGTTCACGGAGCCAAAAGAGTTGGTAAATACACTTTGGGGAGTTGTGAGATGTAAGGGACACGAATATTGGCAAAGTTTGTTTATCTAATCGCCTTGTCCGTTGTAGTGTTAAAGGATCGTACATTTTACAAGATACTTTTCTTTAAAAAAATGGTTTCTGGTTTTGTTTTAACAGCACATGCATATGACGACATGGTTGGATACAAAGTGACTGAGCGATGGACCGTTGCTATAGCTACAAAACAAAACATATCAGTGGATCGTCATGTGTGAATCCATGCCAACTTCCCCAGATTTATCTCGTAAGCAGCGGACGGACTTGGGAGGACCGATTGAGAATCCTGACTCACGCCGAAGCAGCGGCAGTGTCCACAGAAGATGGACCCGGCTCCTGCAACAGTCACGCCGTAGATCTCACGACGGTGTTACCAGAAGCAACCAGCCCAAGGGAACAATAGGAGTGGCACCCCCATTGGAGAGCGATGGACCGGAACACTACGTGCGCCTCTTGCACATTGCACCCTTCGTGCAAAGTTTTACATGGCTCAAAAGAAAACTGGCGCAGTGTGATTCGCGATGGATGCTGGACTTTCTGGAACTTAACCGGGGATTGGAAATACTGTTCGGTGCATTGGCAAGACTCAGCCAGCCGGCCACTTCGAGTATTGCCCACGCTTATGCTCAGGTGGAAGTGGTGGCCTGCTTGAAAGCCGTGATGAACAGTCAAGCTGGCTTGGACTACATCATCGACGATCCGGAATTTACACGCAAGCTTGCAACAGGTAAGTTGTAGCCCACACGAGACCCGTTACATCACGGGGACCGTGTGGCGCATTCACACACACGTTGGTCCCGTGCTAACATACAATGATTGACAACCTTTGGTTTGTGTGTATCTATGGGTTAACCTAGCTAACCCTTTGCGATCATATCTGGATCTTCAACTTTAACCCGTGCGTTAGTGCAGTTGCACTCTTTAGCAACCCCGTAGTCTCCCGTATTGCTTAAACAATAAATTTCGCCTCGACTCCAGCAATTGATAAAAAAGTAAAACAACTTGAATTTCTGAAAGAGAAAAAATATTGGCTGCTCAAAAAGTCTCTTTTACTGCCAGACATAGTGAGAAAGTCAGTGATATGTTTCATATTTTAAGATGCTTGGTCCATGCTCCAAATCCACAGGGATATAGCTATATTGACCCCCTGTGAGGACCCCTTGCCGGTAGTCCATCATTTCTCTTGGAATAAATTCACTTGGCAATAGGACAATGCTTTTAATTGACGAAAAGGGGAGTTTCTGTCCTTTTCTTTCCATCTAACTAGGCTGAATAAGAAAGAAGACCATGGTCTTCGTTTTAGGAAAGGCAACTGTGCAGTGCTAAACCGATGCAAGATCCAAAACCACATAAAGCTTGAGCCGTGCCGCGTAATCCCAAACACTGAGAGGCCTTTTCAAGTTTTAGGCGCCTAGTTTGTCACGCAGTTAGACTAGGGCTTAAGAGTTAATACATCCCAACCAATACGCCATCTCCTTATTCAATAAGCTTCTTTGCTAGTCGTCAAGATGATGTTCCTCTTCCGTAGGTTTTGCTTGTTGCTTCATTTACTCCCTATCATCTACGTCTTAATGTGCCTGTGGGTCTGCCATTTTCACTTCACATTGTTACTTTGTGTGATTTTTAGGGCTTAATTCCTCATCCAGGACACAGCTTAAAACATCGTAAGAGTGGCCATCTTTGTTTCTCATCCAGCAAGTTTGGAGTAGCAACTCTTTCGAACCATGAAAATATTCAGAAAATAAAAACTGGCTGCACGTACCAAACATTTACATATTCTTTGATTTTTTTTGTCTGCGTGGGTCATCCCTTTCCTTGGCCTGTCCTTCAAAAGGATGGACAAAACCCACATTGTAATTGGTTGTAATCTTTTCAAAAATCCCGGCCACGAAGGACGATGAATTATTGATCCAACAAAAGAAAACTTGTTCGACATACATAAAACATGACCAGCTGCAACTGCTAAGTGCACCTTGGTGAGGAAAAAATCCACAAAGCCATGCAGAATTCAGTTGCCTATTAGAGCACTTTCATTCCACGTTTGTTGGATTTAAGTGGAACATTAACATTCTTTGCGAAGAAAATCATTGCACGAATCACATGTGTCATAATTATTGCCCCAAGAAAGAAAATCAATTCTGACATCATTGGAGCGTAGAGAACGAGTCAGTTATATTCATTTTGTACCTTCGGATCATTTCCACTCTACTGCCGCGTATAAAGCGAGATATGTGCGGTTATGGAGGGTGGTATGAACGCTTTCAATATGGCCGCAGAAGACAGTCTTTCAACTGGCGCCCACAGTGTCAATGAAGTTCGTGTAATTGAAGAGAACTCTAGTGGTTTGCATATGGGTCACCTAACAACAGAAGAATAAACTGTTCCCTTAATAATGCCTTTGTTATGGCACAGGTTAAACACGAGTTACTGTGGTGTCCAGATACGTTACTGGATGTCATTTGCAGGTCACCTATCAAGGCTATTTTACCGTTTTTCACGATCATAATCGGTCATTATTGGGCCGTGTGTGTCTTCTCAGCGATTTGAGGTTACTGGCAAGATAAGCATCAATAGTAAGGAGCCCAATACGCAGGAAACCTCAAAAGAAGCCAAACTTTACACCTAACCATCATTCATAAATCCTCAAATTGCGGCCTGAGCGCAACTACTGAGGTTTACCCCTCAGGCCGTACAAGGCTAGCAGTAATTTCTTGCAAATTATAACAAGAGGGGCACACCTGCTCAAAAGTGCGTTAGTGGTCACTCAATCGCATTGTTGCATCCCTCTCGAGTGTTTGGTAGAAAAGTCACTTCCGAGCGCCAATTTTTTAATTAGCAGTTTCGTCAGAGTATTTCCTCAGGGTGTTGCTACATAGGCCTATATAGGGTCCTTGGTACTTTGGTGGTTTTGCACCCTTTCCAAAAGCTCGCACCCTATCTGCCCCTAGTCATGGTGTTTGAGAGTAAACAGCAGTGCGCTATTAACGGAGGGAAAAATTCTTTATAGCATGGAGACAAATATTTCAATGGCCGGAGTGCATAGGCGAATTGCCCCGAGATTTTGTGGGTTGTTTTCGGACACCATCCTGCGAACAAATAAGCTCTGAATGAAATGGTGTGTGTTTGTATGCGTAGCTGGCTAGATACCTATGTTTGGTACGATGGAAGGATAAGAACATCCCGATCCGTGGCAACATAACTCAGAGCCAGCTGCATGTCAATTTGCTCGACTGTCGGTTATTGTAACTACATGCTAAAAACTAAATGTATCCAGACTACGACAATAAGAATGTAACTGCTCCTGTAAAGGTTAGATTAAAATCGTACAATGGTATCTAATTCAACACCTTTTCAGTAAATTCGTTTTTATACATTAAAGCGTGTATTCAGATAATCAGAAATAATTAGGGAAAATCAGTCTAGTGAGAGATTCTCTAGTTTTGGATATGCAATGCAGTTACATAAAATAGTCTCCATTTACTCCAAAGTGCATGGGTTAAAGTACAGGTATAAGTGGTGGGAACTTTTCTGTTCTAAGGGGCCGCCTCGTTACCTGTACCCCCTGAGCTCTTGAAAAGAGTTCCCAACCACCCCGTCGCGTCTTCCCCACAGAACGGTAATGGCTCGATAACATTTGTGTGAGCGAACATGTCCTTTAATTGAAGGGGAAAAGTAATTATTGTCGGTTGCTAAATCTTCCGCTTGAATAAAGAGGCAGACAAAAAGCAAAAGGGGCTTGTGTCCAGGGCTGATTATGCACCTCGAAGTTAGTTTTACAAACAACTTTTAGACGTTGATTTCTTTTTGGCAAACGGTCGTCCTAATGGGTGAGGATTGTATTGGCTCTGTATCGTTTTGAACAATTGCAATTCAACATTTCGACCTCCTGATCACACGACTTAATACATTTCTTTGGTGAGGACCAAACTTTACAGAGCCGATGGAACACAAACTGTGATTAAAATAGGGTGTCCCCTTAAGATGAGGTTACGTTACATTTCAACAAACCATACAGTTACATTTCCAATAACGTATACGACAAGATGGCGTTAAACAAACATACGTTAGTTTGTTCGAAGACAGCCTGCCTCTTAGTATCGTTAAGTTGCATTACATGTAAGTCTGAATAATGTTGCACTTTTTCTTTACCTTTGAAACCTCTCATTCACCTGGTATTGAGAAATGCTTTGTTGGCATTCGAGTTGCGAGCAAATATCTGTATCGTGGAAGCTGTGTTTACTTTAAACATCGCCTTAGACAAAATCAAACATTGAACGCTGATCCAAGGAGACGCACGTGACCTGGGAACTTCCCAATTCAAGTAACTTGTAGAAGTCCTTCCTCCCTGTAAGCCTCCACAGTAAGCTGCATTAATGCTTTTACGCGCGTAGAGTCACTCTTTTTATAGCGTTTTATACACACTCCATCATCAATTTACCCATAGCAAAATATTTGCAATGTTGCAGATAACATACATTACCAAGTTAAACCATCAATGTTGTGGCCAGCAGATCATCACGATCTGAAAACGGCTGAATTGTCCGTTTAAATCGAAAGTGACAGCTCCTGCTCACGTATTTAACTCGCTAAAATCCTGCCGCGTTTTTAATTTAGAATCCCCAGTTTCTTGCGTACTATGCATTCTCTCATCCAGGTTTCTTCACCAGCAATTCACAAAAGTGATGACGATCTCCTACCACGTGAGGATAATCCTGAGTTAATCCCAGCTCTACTCGCGATCCCTAATAATTCTTGCCTCCAAGGGAGGCCACCTACTCTTCCCTTTCATCAACAAGGTTGGACGCGTCAGTGTATCTAAGACGTTGAGATCTTATATATTCCGTTAATCCATGTCTTGGTTTTGTTGAGAAGCATAGGGCAGTCCTTCTGTGACATGTGAAAGCGACAGTGTATTCCCTAATCCCGGCAACATCCGTTACTTGAGAGTGCAAAAAGGACTGGACAAAGTGAAAGTAAACATGAGGATGGCACCCAACACTATTTTAGGAGACGCATGTGTACTCTGGATCGTGGTGACAAAATGACTGGACTAGTCCTAAAACAGGTGGTTAGTACGCCGTGGCCTTGGTTTTGTGGTGTGAATCTGGGTGGATATAGAAAGGCAATTTGATTGAAAGGAAGAATATCATGGGTGACTATTCAGACAGGATAATTTCAAATATTGGAAGACCTTCTCAGTTTAACGAGTAGTACCCGTTTTTCGTTTCTTTGATGGACAAATTCGGATGACTGACTTCTTTAACAATCTGATGTTTCGTTTTGTTGTGGTGATGAGCATCACACTTTTTTAGACATCAAGTTTGTCAACTTGAAGTCTAAAACGTCTAGAAAGTTAGCCTATCCTTGAAGTAAATGTCTACAGTTTATACTTGCTAAGCTATGTAACATACATGTATATTGTACCTTAAATAGGCATTCATCGCAGCCTTTTCACACTAGAAATTGAAATCTGACGTCAAATCTGAACCAGAATGGTCAGATTCTTTTCACTCATGTAAATCAAAAGTCAACCAACCTGTTTGACCAATCCGTTGACATGGTTTACCATTACGACCTTAACTTTTTTATGCATGCAGGTACGAAACTTAAACTTTATAGACTGAAAAAGTGCGATCAAATTACCAAAGGTCCACCTGAATAAAACAAATCGAAACACCGATACAGTATCCATGTCTGCTCTGATTTCATTGACGACAAGACGAGGTAGCGCCAAGTAGGGTGTTACTGACCCTCCAGAATTGAAACCCTATAATTCCGCGGTGTTTGCTCAAAGTTCTAACCTAACCCTGTTTCGTTTTGTTCTGTTCTCACGCAGCGCTGGACGCAGACAATGCCACCGTAAAGAAACAGGTCTTCGAGCTCCTCTCGGCATTGTGCATGTACAATGCCGAGGGGTACAATAGAGCTATCGATGCGCTGGAACATTACAAGGTAAGGACACCCAATAATTATTGATGCCTGTTTACTTGAATCGGAAGCCATATTGGTCGTGTCCCCTGACTGTTTAAAAAAACCGTTACAAAGTAGCTCCTTGTTGGCTTTTTGAAAGAGACACCCACATACTTAATGTCTGTTACTTAAATCTGTGGTCATCTTGGTCTTGTCCCCTGACTGTTAAAGAAATCGTCACAAAGTAGTGTCGTGTTCACTCTCGGAAAATTACAAGGAAAAGACACCCAATACTTTGATGTGTTTACTTAAACCTGTGGCTATCAAGGTCGTGTCTCCCGACTGCTAATCGGGAGGAATCGTACTGTAGCATCATGGTAGCTGAAAGAACACCTGTCTGTAAAATTTGTGGCCCTCTTGGTCAGGTACCGGGGACACCGTAATACAGTAGTGTCGTGTTCGTGTAAATCATTGAGTTCATCCGTGACCGTCTCACACCGTGGTCTCCTTGCAAGCATGGTTGACGTTCCTGATCCTCCCCTATTGCTGATGATTGATAAGCGTGAAGAAATAAATCCACTGAGCTTTTGTAAATGAATATTTGCCCAGTCACTCAGAATCGGGTTATATAACAGTGGTAATCATAATAATCCATGTCTGAAAGGAATAGTGATGTCCTGAAGAGAAGTTACAGTTTAGGGCTTGTCCTTTTTATACCATTATTCACTGTCGGATCCTTGTATGGACACAATCTAAAATTCATATGTATTTCCAAGATTGTGGTGCATTACCTCCTAACCACAGTATATGTTTTTAAAAGCTGCTTGCAAATAGTGTTTCTTTTTTTAAGTGTCTTATTTCATAACATTGCTTGAAGAGATTGGATTTGATTGGATCTGAATGTAAAATAACAACCTTTGTAACTTCAGCTGCAATTTGAGCTATAGAGTACTCTGTTTAAAAAACCTCGTAACTTTTTCATTTTGAAGGTCGTATTTTTCAGGGAAAAAACGCCACGGTTAACCTTTTGAACCTCTCGCGTGAGGCAGCTTCTGTGTCATAATACATTGATTGAACTGAAATGCAAATGATAAATCGAAGTTATAAAAGCACGAGACTTTCATTGTTAACAACAGGATCCCTCTACCGTGCTGTAAGGACAGGCCTAGCACAGGCAAAGATCTTTGTTTTTTCCTCCTGATTTTTGGAAGGGGTAACATAGGAGCAATACGTTGCTTGATAAATGGTGTCTTGCTCCATCATCGATCTTATACAGAAAATGTGGTCGACAAGGCAATCAGTCATGAAGGCTTTGCAGGTAAGTCGTGAAAGCACTTTTAAAGGAACTGCCTTCAGGCATGAAATTCTTATCAAGACCCTGTGACTCGTACTTGTTTCCTTCAGGAACTGTGGATATTTGACAGAATAATAAAAATTCGCTCCCTTTAACTTTGTTTAGCGAACAATGAGTGTCATGATAGCTTCTTAAATTAAAGAACTTAGTTCTATGATCTGCGCGCAAACAGAGAAAAAGTCCATGCGTACTTTGATACATTAGGCCAATCAGCCTTTTGGAAGGCGGAATCTTACTGCGCATGACCACTGAAATCTCAGAAAGTGAGGCCGTTGCCTGACGTCATTTACTAAAGGAAATCTACAGTTCTTAAATGTGAATGCATTCTCACGAAAGTTGGAAATAATTCGTTTAATCCAGTCCCGGATCACTTCTTGTCATTAGGTTAGCATAACAAAATGTGGACATTCTAGCTCTAATCTTATGTCTTTAATATATGCTTATGATAATTATGTGACATACTTTATCTATGATTTTTACATGATGTATTTCCAAACGTACGTGCTTGCCAATATTGTGTCAAACACATCCGGGGTTCATAATAAACAAATCGATCTGAGCAATATGATTCGGCAAAGTTTTCCCGTGACAAAGTTGTTGGTACTGTTGGTACTGGACACACTCTGTTAATTAAATAATACACTAAGAAATGATTGATAGACGTCTCCCACGCAGAGGGTTTGGTACAAATCAACAACTGGCCAGTGGTGACCGGTCAGGTTCATGACAATGCACCTTTCAATCCTTTCTGTTAAACTGAGTTTTACAAAAGCAGTCCATCGTTTGCAGTGGACGCTAATGGGAAACTAACACGTACATGCAGGTTAAGTTCATCATATTAATGTTTGTACTAGAGGTATGTCTGTGGACAGAAATGGAATTATCCTTATTGGTCATGAAAATATACCTTTTCAAATACCGACTCTTAGCGTAGCACCACTTTTAAAACGAATTCGTTCTCTGTGTACCATCGGGATGAGCATGGAAGCTCTTTGCTGGGAATATGAAAAATAACATTCATGTGTGATCGTACTCTTCTGGCGAGTTTTGGTTTTCGGCCTACACATTTCAAACAAAAGTTTACGACTAAATAAAAAAATATGACGTATGATGGTTCGTACAGGTTAGATGTCAGCTTGTTCTATCTCGCGTAAACCCCCCCCCCCCCCCCGTTTAAACGAGTAATATACAGAAAGAAGGCAAAGAAAGGAACGCTGCCATTTCATCGGAATAATAACTTGCAATTTTCAGTGAATTGACTTTGCGGTTCAGTATCTCCTGGAATCAGTCGAACCGCCACATTCCATATTCCACCCTTGCATTGTTGCATATTGTCACCACTATCACCCTTGACAGTACGACAGGAGTCACAGTTGTCAGCTTATACATAATAGTAAGATATCAATCATCTACAAATTCCACAAGACTGTACAATTTCTCTGTATTTACCCCCTAAATTTCTACATATTTTTTGGCACCTTTGAAGTTCCGCAGTTAATTTTATGGAGTAAGACCTTTGTTGTTGAAGTGACTGTAGATGGAAGAATATTTATATCCACGCAATTCTCAATCATCAGATAATTCAAACTGTTCATTGGATGAATACACACAGAGTCTACCGATGTTTAAAATGGGATCTCACCTGAGAATGGGATCATTTCTAGCTCTGACAGAGTTGGGAATTGGTGGGGAGTGATTTTTTTAAGGGACAGATTCGGAGGAGTAGGGACCGTTGCTTCAAATCGTTATGGCTCACCACCTTGCGATAGACCTTTGTCCGGTGCGGCAACAAGACGATGAAGACCAGGTATGTTGGTTTGAAATATTAGAGCAGGGAGGTATAACATAAACATCGGTGTCTGACTGTCTGACCCTTGGTCCAGTGTACATTAGTGTAGGACTCAGCTGAGTAAAGCTTGAAGTAAACATTAGTGATGAGGCACCTGTCATGTCTGTGATCATTTAAAGAGAGCATACCTCCACTTGTTTCCAGCTCTACTCTCCATATACGTAGCAATTAAACAAATTAATCAATCAGTCGCTTGCATACAGAATCGCCATAATGGATCAGAATCGAGTCGCTAGTGTGTATCGTACCTAACCTTTACAGTTTATTTGGGTATAGCTGACGTTACCCATTATGGCCAAACTTTCAACCTGAACTTGCAGTTGTCGTATAAGCTGCATTTAGAGCATGAAGCCTTTAAACCAGCATTCCAGGGCATGAAGCGATGTTTACACGAGAAACTTCGAATTTCTATTTTTCCGCTCCGAGCGGCACCTGTTTATTTTGTACAAGTAAACGTAGACACATGGACTTCCTCGCAATTCACTGTTCTCACCAGTCTCAGATTCTAACTTGGTTTCCAGTAAACGTCTTCTAGTTTGCCTGTCTAATCAAACGGACCACCAGGCTTGTTTTCGACAGTTTCTTGCTTGCCTACGTTTAAATAACATTAACAATGGATAACGCTTTAATCAAAGATGAAAAGTTTAATTTTGTACGATTAGGCCCCCCCCAAAAAATATTCGGTCTGTGGTCAGACCAAAGTTCCGGAATTGACGCGGGAACGCGGCTTTTTTTTTTCTTTTTTTTTTCTTTTTTTTCTTTCTTCAAACTTGGATTGTACAGACAAGGTGGGGTACTATTTTGCTTTTTTGGTGTCCTCATGTACATCGGTGTCCTCCATAATTTGCCTTGGTGCTCTCGATCATTTGCCGTGGTGTAATTTCCCATTCCTTGGTGCTCTTTGGTAAAAAAAATTGAGGAGGTGCGGCAATAGAGGGCGCTGTTGGAGCTACCGCGGAACATTTTGGAAAAAAAGATTGACGCGCATGATTAAAATCGACGCGTGCGCTGACCAGAGACCGACTTAATTTTTTTTTGGCCTTAACTTGATTGGTTGTGAATGCGTATTTTAATGGCTGTCAGATTGGATATCGTATTTGCTTGAGGTGTTTGCTCTTAAGTTTTTAATTTCTGTGCTTCTTCACAAACTCTGGCCTGGAATGTCGTGTTTAATTATCCTTCATTCTGCATGGAAATATGCGCCCAGATTAATTATTCCGCATGCCTGAACTTGTATTCAGTCTGAAGAAAATCACCGGTGATCTGTGTCTCAATATTACTTGATTTGTTTTCAGGTGTCAACGATAAGCAGTTGTTCGTGTGAGATTGCTCGTTTAGAGTCTTTTGAAGTTGTCAATTCTTGTTCTGCTTCACAAACTGTAGTTTGAAGTTCACCGTCCAGAACGAAATTAGTCTTGAAAATAGGCGTCCAGAGTCAATACTCTGCATTCCTGAACTTATTACACCCTTAGCCTTCCTTAGATTTTTTTGTTTGGGTTTCAATGCTTATTTTAATGACTGTTAAATTGAATATCGTATTAGTTTAGATTGTCTAAATTGTCAAAGTTGTGAACTTCAGTTCTGCTCTACAAACGTCAGGGCTGGAATGCAGTGAGTCCAATTACAGACAATTCTCCGCGCAAGAAGAGAGCAAAAAAGTTAATATTTTGCATGCCTGCACTCCTATTGAAATGGAACAAAATAGTTTCTGACCTGTGTCATCATATTATGGATATTTGTTTATTGAGGTGTCGGCGATAAACGTTTTCTTTTCCTTGCAAAATTGCGTGTCAAATTTATGTGTGGTCAAGTCAATCTAATTATACCGAAATGTATCAT